GCTTATTTTGTGAAGAATTTTGTTGACGTTGCTAGTAGCTTTGCGGTATGGCTGCTTGGCATGCGCGTATGCCCTTAATGGACCGTATCGTATCTTAAAAGATTAAATTTAGCTTTATAACGCAAAATATTTGCTTTGATTACTAGTCGTTTCACCGCAGTGCATTTTCATGCTGATCAGCAAAACCGACAACTTTCCCACATTTGCTGTGACTAAAACCTGCGATATAAAGCATCTGGTGCCATTACCTTTGCTGATAAGTCTCGTTGCGCTTGATTTGTTTGCCTTTTCCCGTTCTTCGTCCACAAGAAAAAGATGCTAAAATAGATTTATCGTTTGCCGGTCCCCAATGAGGCTGGCAGTTTATCCTCGAAAATGAATGTAGGCGCGAAAAATGGGATCCGTGGGCACTATCTGGATTAAAAACGGAAGACCCGGTTGTTCGTGGAACCTAGTTTGCGTTGATGAATATCCAAGAGGATGTATTGTCCATTATGTTTTATCGAAAATCCACTGAGTTATCTTATTTTACAAATATATCGAAAGGGGTCACATTGTTACTACCAGTAGGCTTGTCACATCGGTACGTGGAAAATGTGTGTCTTTTTAGGATTTGGAAGTATGCGATGGATTTGTTCTTTGTTTGCATCTCAGTTTACTTCTTGTCCATCTCATGTGTATCATATATGTTGCATGTACATTGTATGTGTTACAGATAGCATGTTTGCAGTTTGATGGTCGCTTGAAACAGTGCGTAGAAGTGATGACACCCGATGAAACGATACTTTTGCGCGCTGAAGACGATGCGCCGAACGACGACTGGTACGAAGCGCTGATGTCCGCAGCGATACCGGCACGTGTGCTTCGCCTTGGACGGCCCGTTCTCGAAACTGAATTCTTCGGTAACAGCTTTCTTTTACTTGCAGTACTTGGTAGTGCTGTTCTGTAGCTGTGCAGCTTGCAGCTGCTTTGACTGGAGCTGAATCGCCAGATGGTCAGGGTGTTCGTTTCTTCTCGTGATGGGACTACCAACTCAACTAGCTGCCTCCTTACAAAGGCATTTCAGCCAGACTTTAGCTGTTTTTAGCTATTCTTGATATTTATTACATCTTGAATGTTACGTTGCAGTTCCTGACCACGGTGAGATACCGTGCACCTAGGGGCTTATCCTGCTTGCGATGGAAAAAAGAAATGTTATTTTGATGACGCATCTCTAAATGTGGAGGTTTTTGAGATATTTCGATGATTTCTCGCATAATGTGTCTGTTCTCCATGATTTAATTGATCTCTCTCGACTGAAGATGTGTGTATCTGACCGGATATTTCCGTATTCGGTACAGTTTCTGTTTGAGTGATTGAACATGTGGCATATGTTTGGTTGCGACTATTTACATATGTTTGTCCGGATGATTGGTGCAACAGTTTATGCGTGTCCGCTTAGTAATAGGACTACACCGATATTCATGGGGTCCATTTCTGAAAGGATCGCTTTTATAATACCGTAAAAACGGGGGGATTTTCATGAAGATACTAGATTGTTGGCACTACGCTTTATCATCTTATCACTGCAATCTCGTCGTATAAGATCTCTTTTGCCCGAATTTTATGCGTTTCTGTTTCGGGATTTCTGAAGAGCACTCGTCAAAATTTGTGCCACGGAAGTTTATATGTTTTATTGCAGAATGTGCCTGGGATGTGAATTTAGTGGATCGTCCGAAATTGCGCAAGGCAATTGCTAACTTGGAGCGGCGGGAGAATATTTGCAAAAAGAACCCAGCATTGGCGGGGGCGCATCGCCTGTGTTTTTATCCACACACCATAATCCTCTGCCGACGAGGCATTGAACCAGCAAAGCTCAGTGATTTACCGCCATCCGGTATTCCTCCCTTCAAACCCAGCGATTTTATTGATATACCGGTAAGTTCCGTTATAATAATATATGGAACAGTTAAAACAGCTATAATTCGTGGTTTGGCCCATCTGGCAACTGCTTTGGCCGATGCCACATCTCCTGGCGGATTGGCCAGTGGCGCTCTTGAAATTCATTTCATCTCCTGACGGGGGACTCGCCTGACAAAAAAACTTGGCAGAGCTTTAGCCATCCATTTTGAGATGTCGCCTACATGTTAACATCACTAGCTCACAGTGTAGCTTGCCGATAATTTCATCCTCATTGTCCGAGTTTCTCTTTTTGCTATGTGAGCCTCCTTCGGTATTTTCGGGCTTAGCAGTATGTTGAAATTAATTTTATCGTTAGATTAACTGTCTTTTTCTTCGGTATTTTTGGGCTTATTTTAGTGTTTTTT